GATTTGATTATATAGCTATCAATATCCGATTAACGTGATTTTTTTACAGACATATAGTACTCGACGAGTTCTACACATTGAACGGTTCAAATTATTAAAATAGGACCCGTGATGAGCCCCCACAGGCCGAGCAACATTGTCCTGTGTAAATTTTTTGTGCACCCGCTTGTATAAATTTGTACCATCACCTCAATACAAAGTTGGCTTGTATTTTTTTTGTGCACGGTAAGCATGGGACGGCAGAATGTGTTGCAATGTATAAAATTATTATTATTATTATTTTTTGTAAATAGTGGTAATTTTTTAGCCTTTTTAATAATTTTTTGACTTTTTATTTTTTATAGAATATGCCAAACAAGCACAAAATTAAAATTTCAAAAAACCAATGAGAAAGAAAACAAATTCCTTGCTGAATACCACTAGACATATGTCAAAATTAATAAAAACTTGAAAATGATTCGATCTAAATTAATTTGATTTTTTTATCTCTATTTGTGAATTGAACCATAATCAACAGTTCTTAATTTATTAGAATCAGAACCAAATCATCCCCTAAAAAAAATAGATCAAAGTGTACAATTTGGACTGCCTCGAACAGTTTAATGGTTCGATCGCTTTTTTTACACACTCCTATAAAAGGTAGTATTGTGTCAAATGTAATATTTTTTATTTATAAAAAATAAAATAAAAAAATAGTTTTAACATACATATATATTTATAAACCTTGTTTTGAAGAAAAATGAGAGAGGTGGTGGATGGAAGGCAATTTTTGATGGTTGGGAGGTGGTGGATGGAAGGCAATTTTTGATGGTTGGAAGTGATTGTTAACTATTGAAAGTAGCGGTTGAAGATAACTTTTGACAAGAAATAATGATCGAAGGTGATTATTAACAATGAAATGTGTTTGGCAGCAGCTGGAAATGATTTTGGACATGAGAGGTATTTGTTGGAGGAGATCATTGGCAACAATAACGGAATGCCGGTGATGATGATGAGCGGTGGTTGGTGACAAGAGAGGATAGGAGAAAGAGTAAGGAAACAATTTTTTTAAATTTTTTTTTCCAAACTAGTGAAATCATTTTTTTATTATAATTATAAGAATTTAATATTTTTTTTAATATTATTTTTTAGAGGGGATTTTTTTAATTTTTTTAAAATGAAAATAAATGCAAAACCAATTTTTAATTATAATATTTAAAAATATAAATAAAATAAAACAATATCAACATGAGGAATAATTTTTGGTAACATGTCGCTGGAGTTAGCAATCCTCTGACCATCATCGTCGTTTTGTGGGGCCCATTCGGATATTTTTGATAAGATTGGCTGCGTTTGACAAGAGCTTTGTAACTATTTTATAAAATAGGTTATTTTCAGAACAAATAAAATATCACATTTAATCTATAATTATTATATTTTTTTTTCACAAAAAAATTAAAAAAGTCAAAAAGTTAAAAAAAAAATTTCCAAATCAAACTTTTTAGCTCAAGTTAAAATAGTCAAAAAATCAACCCACTTTCCAAACGGAGTTTGTGTTTCATCCAATTAAAATAAAAAATAAAAAATTAAAACGTTGTTAATATATAAAAATATATTGAAATACATAATAGTAAATAAAAATATTTTTAAAAAATATAAAATATGTATTAAAATTAAAATTATAAATAACTTTAATATTATAATTTTTAGGAGAAATTTTTAAAAAAAAATCATAAAATTTGACTATTGTAACAAAATAAATACTGAGTTTTTAAGTTTATCAATTTAAATTATAATTTTTTAATTTGTTTTCAATATAAACCATAAATTGATTTTCTTTAAGTAAAATTAATGAAAAAATAATATTTTAGTAATTAAAACTGAATGAAAAAAAAAATATATATAAAATGTTTAAAATATATTTTTTATTGAAGTTAATGATTAAAATATATATTTTTTGTTAAATTTTAATTAATAAAAGTAGATAAATGTTTTAGATTAAAAGCAAATCACAAATTTAAGTTTAAATTGAAATTAAAATTTTATTTTATTACAAAAATTAAACTTTAATTTTTTTTAATAATTACCTCTAATTCTTATTAATAACCTTTAAAATTATCATTAAGAAGACTTCTTTTTAAAAAGTACAAGTTCACCCACACCACTAGCCATTTGGTCGCAAATTGGCATGAGTACAAAAAAAGTGAGGGGAAGTGTGTGGAAGCAATAGGGACGTCGTTTTGCACGCACCGCCCCACACCTGATTGTTGGCCATTACGTGTCAGCTTTTGGTTAGGTGCACAATCTAGCTCCCTCCACCTTACTGTGGACCCCATGCTGTCAATCACTCCATTTTTACCGACGACAGATGCTGTAGAGAAGCTAGTTAAAAATTAATTTTAATTGTTAACTTATTTTCAGTCATATTATTTTTTATATATAAAAAGTTAAAAGAAATTAAAAAATTAACTTTTAATTAATTTTTTAAATCATTCCAATATATCATATCATCAAATAATTATTATTAAATGTTTAGCAAATTTTTTAAATATTATTTTTTCTTCAAATTTTTAAATGCACTGAACTTTTATGTAAAAGTAAAATATTTTAGTTGAAATGTCGGTAAACTGGTTCATAAATTCCTAATTGTTAAACCAAAAAAAAAAATGAAAATAATATATAAATATATAATAAATATGAAAATGTTTTAAATTTATATATTTAGTAATTTTTTTTTATAAAAATCATAAATATCTTATTTTTTAAGGCTTCGTTTAGAAAGTGGGTTGACTTTTTGACTTTTTTAGCTATTTTAACCTGGGGTTAAAAAGCCTAGTTTGGGAAGAGCTTTTGAATTTTTTGATTTTTTTTGAGAAAAATAATATAATAATTATAAGTTTGATGTGATGTTTTATCTTATTAGGTTAAAAAGCCTATTTGTTTTTTGTGACTATTTTAGCCAAAAAAATTCCAAACCCATCTTGCCAAACATAAGTATATTCTGATTAAGTAAATTTAAAAAATAAAAAAATTATTTAAAATATTTAAAAAGTTCACTAAAAATAAAAATAATACAAATAACAAAAATTCAAAACTAAATAAATTTGCACTTTACTCCTTGAACTAGTATTTAGTATCACATTATTATTTAAACTTAAAATCATATATTTAAACATTTCAATTATAAAAATCCCTAAGGAGACTCCCTATTTGAAAAAAAGGTAAAAGTAAAATAATTTTGATTTGTTAAAAATTATAAATATATAATTTAAAGTTTTTTTTAGATCATATAACAACCTCCCCGGGGAAGTAGGAAATGACAATGATATTAGAATGATGAACCGAGGTAAGCGTTGATGCAGGCGCTGTTAAGGCTCTGTTTATTTGTAATGAAAATGATAGAAAGTGAAACAAGAAAATATATATATAATTCTTTGGGATAAATTATAAATATATATTTTGAGGTTTGTTAAAAATATAGATTGTCTCATATAATTTGAAAATTATAAATATTCTCATGTTGGAAATTTTTATTTAACATAATTAATTAAAAAAATAAAAATTCTAATTGTTCTTCTATACAATAGGAAGTTAACTAAATTATTAATTGAAATAAATTTATGATATCTTTAAAAAATTATTAATTGACTTGATAATTTATTAATAAAAATGAATTATTTGTTATGAAATTATAAATTTCAGTGTGCAGGATGAATTTTCAGAATCATAGGGGGTAATTTATATTTTAAATAAATCTCATTAATTATATTTGTAATTTATCTATTTTTCACGAGTTTGTTTAAGGTGAGAGCGGTAGAAAGTAAAAATAATAATAATTTTCTTATAGAACTTATATTAATATGTAACTAACTTTCTAATTTCTCGTAAATTGCACAAGAAAATACCCAAAAGAAAAAATTTGAATGTTTATATAAGAAGTTATTTATAATTAAATTTTTTGGATAAATTATAAATACATTTTTTGAGATTTATTTAAAATATGAATTGTCTTTTGTAATTCTAGAAATTACATCTCACCCCCCTGAAGTTTTGAATTTCATAACAAATGACTGTTTTCATTAATAAATCATAAAGTCAATTAACAGTTTTTAATGATGTCAGGAATTTATTTCAATTAAAATTCAAGTAATTTTATTATTGTATAGGAGAATAGTTAAGAACTTTTTTAGTTAATTATGTTAAATAAAAAATTATAACAATGAGTTATTTGTAATTTTCTAAAGTACATGGGCAATTCTTATTTTAAACAAATTTCAGGGGTGTAATTGTAATTTATCCTTAAAATTTCAAAATTTTCTATTCGTTTGGGAAGTGGGTTGGCTTTTTAGCTTTTTGGCTTTTTTGGCTATTTTAACGTGGACTAAAAATCTTGGTTTGGGAAGGACTTTTTTACTTTTTGACTTTTTTTTTAGAGAATCACTACAACAAAAAACACATGTGGCGACCAAAAAATTAGTCGCCAAAAGTACAAATTTTGTCGCCAAAAGAATTGGCGACAAGTACACAATTGGTCGCCAAAGGCCTGTCACTAAAAGTATTGGCGACCAAACCACAAATTGTCACCGTATGTAGACATTTAGCGACAAGCAAAATTGGTCGCCAAAAATCATAAATTTTGTCGCCGTAAAATTATAATTTGTCGCTAAAACGTTAAAATTTGGATCGACTATGTAGTTTTAACGACAAATAAATGCGTCGCCAAAAGTACTATTTAGTGACAAAATTAATTTGGTCGCTAAAAATCAAGTTTTTAGCGACAACTAAGTTTTGGTTGCTAAAATTTCTTGGAATAGCCACTAACTTTTAGCGACAAAAACAATATGATGTCGCCAAATATATTAACAACGACCAAAATGTCACCTGTCACTAAAAATTCAATGCACAAATTTTGATTTTAATAATTTTCCTGTTCAAAATAATCCAAAACACCTGTTTTTCTCTACACAATATATACACAAATGCAATGTAAATAGTAATATACCTGTGCAAGACATTCGTAATAATTCAAAACTAATAGCTATTAAACATCTCAATAAACATAATTACAATTCTCTAACAATCTGAAACATTCATACCACACTATTAACATCAAACCCACAAATTCATTACCAAATCCTATGTCAAAATATTTTTCAAAACACAACCAAATATTTTGATGCTAAACATCTAACCCACAAATCATTTACCAAAATCCAATGTCAAAATATTTGCAAAAACACCAAACCAAATATTTTGATGCTAAACATCTAACCCATAACTCATTTATCAAAATCAAATCTTCTGATGTAGCTCGAACTATTTTCCACCATTGCCAATCTGTCACATGAAAAAGAAAAACAATATTAGATTGACAAAAAAAAAAAAACTCAATATGAATTTACAATTTTGATTTTAATTTTATAACGGGAAGTCCAATCGAGATGTCGTTTGCTCATACAAGTTTATTTAGTCTTGAGCTAGCTGCCCGTGCTAAGTTTCAGCGGTTTCGGTGGTCATTTCGCAATTTTGCCCCTCGAACGGGCCTTTTAAGTCTTGTGTTTTACAACTTTCCTTCTAATTTTCTAACCGAAAATCCAATTGAGCTCATGTTTGTTCCTATAGTGTTATTCCTGTGTGTGTGTGTGCGCGTGTGTGACATTGAACAAAGACATGAATAACACTGTAAATAAGACACACAACACCTAACCGAAAATCCAATTGAGCTTCTGTTTGTTCCTATAGTGTTATTCATGTGTGTGTGTGTGTGTGTGTGTGTGACATTGAACAAAGACATGAATAACACTGTAAATAAGACACACAACACCTAACCGAAAATCCAATTGAGCTTCTGTTTGTTCCTATAGTGTTATTCATGTGTGTGTGTGTGTGTGTGTGTGTGACATTGAACAAAGACATGAATAACACTGTAAATAAGACACACAACACCTAACCGAAAATCCAATTGAGCTTCTGTTTGTTCCTATAGTGTTATTCATGTGTGTGTGTGTGTGTGTGTGTGTGACATTGAACAAAGACATGAATAACACTGTAAATAAGACACACAACACCTAACCGAAAATCCAATTGAGCTTCTGTTTGTTCCTATAGTGTTATTCATGTGTGTGTGTGTGTGTGTGTGTGTGACATTGAACAAAGACATGAATAACACTGTAAATAAGACACACAACACCTAACCGAAAATCCAATTGAGCTTCTGTTTGTTCCTATAGTGTTATTCATGTGTGTGTGTGTGTGTGTGTGTGTGACATTGAACAAAGACATGAATAACAGGCATGCCAAGGAATCCGAGAGAAATGCTCACGAACCATAGAGGCAAAGTGAGAGGATAAGTGTTTGCAAAAGTACCTAGAAATTCGATGATAATAATTTGAAAGAGGACCGTGCAAGCGAGTACCGCCACAAATACATAGTTGTTCAGCATACCTTTGAAGACGTTTATCTCTTCCATATCTCTGGAGCTTATCTCATTGAAAACCAGCAAGGGAAAAAAGAAAAAAGAAAAAAGAAAAAAGAAAAAAGGCATTCTGTCACAAGTCGCAAACAACGTTTGGTAAATTAATTTGTGTTTTGAAGAAATCATTAGGATTTATGGATTTTGATTCAAACAACGCTCACAATTAGATATTTTACATCAGCCAATCATTACCCAGATCAGAAAAACAAATTTATGTTTTCATGAATGAAAAGTTGCACACTTTCACTCAAATACAGCTAAAGCCGTCAATCATGCTATATTTGAAAATAAATAAATAACACCATCAATAACTTAACCTTCAAGGTCATTTATTAAAGGTAAAATCACATCAAAAAGAGATTTGGTCAGTTCTGAAGAATGAATTGTCTTTGCACTATCAATAATGGCCATCAACGGGGCTTAATAAAGGGTAAAAGAAGTGTTAGTATCAATTTAATTTATGGAAACAACATTACTAACAATTATAGTAGTGAATGCACACAGCAGAAGGATATTATTCATTACAGAAAACATCATCTAAATAAATTTTTAAAAAATTAGAAGTTACCTGACAAAAGACAAACGTGTTGAAAATAAGTGTGTTGTTTTTCCTGATGTTTGAAGATACCAAATTATGATAAAACTAATATAATGACTGCCCCAAAATATTCCTCCATATAACATTACTAATGAAGTTTCCTTTCCTTCCAATGGTTTGTCGCTTCATTAAGTTGACATTAGGAGGTTCGGTTGCCCCAAAAGGATAGTATTATGAGAAACATGATGTTTAATGAAATTGGATATAGAGGGTGATTAAGGTCGGGATTGCTTTACCTCTCAAACAAGCTGAAGAAAAGTTGACAATTAGGGCAATCACGTTGACTGTCAGCTGAAACTGAACAAATTTTTGAATGTTTATGTATACCGAGCATCCCCATTTGGCCACAATTGGAATTGTGGAAGAGTTGTGATCTAGAATTATGACATCGACACTCTCTTTAGCCACCTAAAAAGTCATGAATAATTTAATAACTTAATAAAAATTTTCTACTGATTTCATATATGTAAGAATAAAGCACGGGATGGTGAGAATTTGTTTTTTTTTTTTTTTAAAAATGAAGAACCAGGACTAGAAGAAGACACAGGGCAATATCTACACAATCAGTTGCAATATCAACAAGATCAATCCAATCAAAAGAAACACAATGGCTTCTGAGACAAAAGTTGATCTCCAAAGGGTAACCGGACACCTCCAAGAACAATTCTATCATATATGATATACCTCTCTTCTTTTTATTATTTTCTCTTGTTTTTTGGGTCATGAGCACTGTCATCTATGATTCCTAGTCAAAACTTATCAAGGCCAATCCTGCTTTCCCATTGAAGCCTCTTGTGATATTACAGATATATGTTAACATATATATCATATACGTTCTGAGAAGTTTATGTGATATAAAATCATTGGAAGATTAATCTTTCCATAAGCTACAATGATGGATTTGATTCAGTAAAAAAAGTTCCTAAGGAATTTCCAAAAGTAAATTGCAAGCAGTATTTACTTTCCCAAAGATCTTGATTTGCAATGGTTAATTGAGAATATCTATATAGACAGAGTCCCAAGAATCGCAATCGCAATCGCAATCGCAATCCTAAGAATCGCAATCCCAATCTTCACATTAACCATATGAATATTCACATTATTATTGAATAATGTATCTATTATTCTGTGCTGTGATAAATATAAATACTATTATAACACAAACATTAAACTATGATTGGGAGAAAGAGGTCATAAAATTGGGCATATAAAATTTAAAAAAAAATTGTCCCAAAAATATATTGCAATTTAAAATAATATTAGTACAAGTTGTAATTGTGCAAGCCCAATTGCCCATCTATTTGTTGTTGTTGTTGTTGCGAGGAAGTGGAGAACATTTCCTTTGTCAATTTGTTTGTAACCGATTAACAAACAAAACACACAAAAACAAAAACACAAACAAAAAAACAAACTACCTTCCCACTCCTCTTCCTTCTGCTCCCTCGTTGCTCTCAGAATCCGTTCTCTTTTTATTCCATTCCACTCTCTCTCCCTCTCTCTACTCATATATATATATATATACACACATTGTAGTCTTTTATTTATTATATATTCAGAAAGACAGTCCCAAAATCTGTCTTCTATGTATTGCAGCCCCAAAATAGTCCCAAAATCAGTCCCATAAATTCAAAATATCAAAGAGAGAGAAGAGAAGAGGGTAGCGACCAGAGACCCAGTCGCGATCAGTGCTGTGAGAAAGGAAGACAAAGGGAAAACACTGTTTGAGGGAATGCCGTCGGTGGCGCTCAGTCGGCGGCGCGAGAGAGTGAGAGGAAGAGAGAAGAAGAAGAAAAAGCAACAAGCTTTAATTCTAAAAACACAGAACAAGAGAATGAAACTAAAGACAAAGAAGAAAAAGAGGAGGAGTCGGCGGCGTGAGAGAAGGAGAGGGAGAGGGAGAGAATACATACCTCTGTGTTTGTGCGCCGCTTAAGGTTGTGGATTGAGAGAGAGATGAACAATGCCTAGGTCTTATTTGTTTATTCACCAAAATGGTCAGTCATCTCTTTTTTAAAATAAAAGAAAGGGGACAAATGCAAAACGACGTAGTTTCGCGACCTAATTTATTGGCGACGAAAATCCTTCGGTCGCCATAAATATCGTTCACCTTTTTCTGCGGCTATTTTATTTCTGTCGCCAAAAAATTACAATCGGCGACCAAAATTTTTGTCACCATATATTAATTTGGTTGCGAAAACATTTTTAGTACTCCCGCGCTGAAATTTAAGTTGGCGCCAAACCTTTTGGCGACTAAAAATCTCAACTCGTCGCCAATAGTTTATTTTTTGGCAACCAACAAGTATATTGTCGCTAATTATATACAATTGGCGACTAATTTTAGTTTGGTTGCTAAAAAACGTCACTAAAAATGTTTTTTGTTGTAGTGAATAGTGTAATGATTATGGGTTGAATGTAATATTTTATTTGTTGTGGGTAAAACAACCTATTTTGTCTTTTGTGGCTAAAACAGCCAAAAAAGTCCAAAAACCAACTTGCCAAACGGAGGCTTGTAAATTTTTTTATCTTAATCAGGCATAGTTTGGGAAGTTGGTTTTGGTGGGTTAGGGGCTAAAATAGCCACAAAAAACAAAATAGGTTATTTTAGTCACAAAAAACAAAACATCAAATCCAACCCATAATCATTACACTCATCTCTCACAAAAAAAGTCAAAAAAGTCAAAAAGCCAAAAAATTCTTACCAAACCAGGCTTTTTAGCCACAGGTTAAAATAGTCAAAAAGTCAAAAAGTCAGCCCACTTCCTAAACGGAGGCTCAAATACTTACAAGAAAAGGTAGTGCCAGGGTGTGTAAGGTGTATATAATATATATTTGCATAAGTTTTTACAAATATACATAAATTACTTCACAAAATTGCGTAAGTTCTCACAAATATACGTAAATTGTGATTTCTCAATTTTTTTTGGGGTTAACTTATATATATATTTGTGAGAATATATGCAAATGCATATGATATGTACTTGCACATTTAAGAATTGCCCTACAAAAAAATATATTTTATTTTCTATTTATTTATTTCACTTCATTTTCTATCACTTTTTCACTTTCCACCAATTTTTTGTTTCTAATAAAAAAGAACCTTATGCTCAATTTGATTAGATAGATAATACAAGAAAGTGAAAGAAAAATAAAAATAAAAATAAAAAATTATATGTTTGTTTAGATAGAGAATCTTACAAGGTAAAAAAACTAAAATTCTCTGCACAACTCAAATTAGCTTAGGAAAACAATGGGATTGTTTGTTACAGCTTTTAGGGTGATTATAGCTTATTTTGATTTGAAAGCTTGTGCTAGACTGTTTGGTTCAGCTTCTGCTTATAGCTTATTAGGCAAAAATAGCTTAAATAAGCTAAAAAAAATTAATTATTTGAAAGTTGGGGTAGGAGTACTTTTAGCTTCTGCTTTTTTATTATTAACTTTTAACTGAAAAAAAAAAAAACTTCACTAAACAGGGCCAATTTCTTGCAAAATATACAAGAAAATTTATCTTTTTTTACAAATCTTGACAAGATTTATTTTTTTTTTCTTTTTGCCAATGTTTCCTTCTATAACTCCTTATTATGTAGTGATTATATTTTTTTCTATTACTCCCTTACAAAAAATTTCATATATACAAATGTAGGTAAGAAAATTTTTACTTCTCTTTTATTTTTTTTATTTTTTTCATTTCATTTTCATTTTTTACCATCGATTTATTTCTAAATAAACGAGACCAAAAGGATATTCACCACGAATTTGAAAATATAATAATAATTTTAGAATTCAAGTCGCGTCCACGCGAATTTGAAAAACAGCCCATAGCCGTTGATAAAAGCCTCGCGGTTTGCGTTACATTTTAGGGTTATTTTGGAAACAAACTTATAAATTAGTTTATTAATTTGTTTAAATTTTATTATCTTTTTATTTTTTTGTTCATTTTTTTAATAAGTCAAAAAATTAATTTATAATTCACTTTAGGCAAATGTTTTTTTAAAAAAAAAAAGTATTTAAAAAAATAAATTGTTACTAAAAATTTAATAAATTTGAAAAATACATACATGAGTACTTTTTTAGATAAGTTACTCTGACATTCCTTAAAATTTAAAAGAAATACAATAAGTCCCATAAATTTAAAATAATTACACTGGACTCCCTTGACGTTTTGATTTATATAACACTTAAGACTCTTTTCATTAGAAATTAGTTAATCCTATGAATGAAAAAATGATATTATTATTAGTTTTATATTAAAATGTATATCTTATATTTTGTATATTTGTGTCTTTATATTATCAGTATTAATTTCTATCTCTTTAAATTTATTATAAAGAAGGTCAATATAATTGCGTCACTATTGTAGATCTTCTTGTATATTTGTTTCAAACATCAAGAGAGGTCAGTGTAATTACCTTAATTTTTTGCTTATTGAAAATATTTAGGTGGGGTTTGGAATTTTTTTTCCTGAAATAATTTTTTTTAAAATATTTTTACTTTTAAATTTCCTCAAAAGATAACAAATTTTAATAAAACTTTTAAATATAAGACAAAAAAAAATTAAGAATAAATGTGATTTTTTTATATTAGTTGTCAAACAATATGAATTTCATTAAAATTATTGCTTTTTCTTATGGCTAACTTCTCATTTGACAATCTTCAGTTTTAGTCAAAAAAATCAATATAAATCGTCACATCATTCTCTTTTTTTTTTTGTAAAAAACTCAAAATTACTAAAATAACATTTTCCGAAATGAGATGTAAATAAGTTAAAATTTAAACCAAATAAACAACATAATTTTTGCTTAAATTAAAAAAGATAATGATAAATTACACTGACTTCCTTGAAAGTTTGAAGAAATAAGTCTTACAATTTTGATATAATTTTATTAGGGTCTCTTACTGTTTAATTTATATAACACTTAACTCATTTTTTTTTCAATAATTTGTTAGTTATAAAGATTAAAAAATGATATTATTATCACTTTTCTATTAAAATTATATATTTTTATTTTTTATTATTGTGTCTTCACATTATCTTTATTAGTTTTAAATTTCTATCTATTTAGACTTATTAAAATAGAAATATTAAAATAGAAATTAATATAATTATATTGTATTATTTTTAAACCTCAAAACTATAATTTATTAAAAAATAATTATTTAAGCTGAAGCCAAACAAATTCTAGATATTGGCCCTGTTTTTCTACCATGTGCACAGTAAGTTTGAATGGAAGAGTGTTGGTAAACCAAAGTGTCAAAACAAACATAGGATAATTGGGCCCACGGATTAATAATCCTAATCCCATGCTTTAATCCCTCCAATCAAACATGCCCATATTGTATTATTTTTAAACCTCAAAACTATAATTTATTAAAAAATAATTATTTAAGCTGAAGCCAAACAAATTCTAGATATTGGCCCTGTTTTTCTACCATGTGCACAGTAAGTTTGAATGGAAGAGTGTTGGTAATTATCTGTCAACACAATCATGACAGCATAGCACGTGGCATTCAGAAATCTTTGAGATCCTGCAAAAATTGAGGTGGGTTTGAGAAAATAGTTTGCCGTTATTTTAGTTATAAAAGATAAAATAATTTATTTTAGTTACAATAAATAAAATATCACATTTAATTCATATTTATTATATTTTCTTTTCATAAAAAAAGTTAAAAAATCAAAACGTCATTTTCAAATCAAATTTTTTAGCTCAAGTTAAAATAGTTAAAAAAGTCAAAAAATTAAAAAACCAATCCACTTCTCAAATGAAGCGTGAGTAATGCTATAAATTTTAAAAAATTTACAAAATATCTTATATGAGTGCGGACCCTACATATAATATAGGGACACTTTGGGAAGAATTTTAGTCAAAGAAGTTAGCTATTTTGTTAAAAAAGTCACTAAAAAAGTCAAAAAGTTTATTTTTTACTAATTTTTCAAAACATCACATAGTTTTCATATAGATTCTACACTCGTATGAGACATTTGATAGAATTTTTGAAATTTATAGTATTTTTGAAAAAAATTACTCATTCCGTTCCAAAATATTAGTCCCTTATTCTATTTTTCATTGTCCCAAAATATTAGTCCATCTTCAAAAATCAAGTACAAAAATAATATAAATTTTCTATTTTGCCCTTCTTTTAAATTAATAAACAATATAAAAAGTATAATTATGACATTGATATTCCTAAAAAATGTACTATCAAAAGGGTAATTTTGAAAAATCAACTTTTTTCAAATGTAATAATTGTACTATTAAAAAAAAGTTGAATTTTCCAAAAAAAAAGCTATTGTTTTAGGATGGAGGGAGTATTACAAGTTTTATATAATATTAATATGAGTATTATAGTGTAAAATTTTTAAGATCTGTCCATGCCATTTACACGGATTGAGGGGTGTTTTAGAAAAATAATTAAAAATTAATTTTTGACTTTTTTTGTGAGGAAAGAAAATGGGTTAAAAGTTGAGAAATGGCTTTTAATCTATTTCTCAAAATAGTTCTGAGAGTCATTTTGGCAAGCTGATTAAAAGTCAATTTTTTTAATTTTTTAACTTTTTTGAGTTATATTACTTCTCTACATTTTACACATTTTTTTCAAAAAAATTTAAAAAATTAAAAAAAATTAATCTTCAACCAACTTTTCAAAAACACTCCTAATCCCAAACATATATCATCAAGCGAAAAGGTCTTTCAATGAAAACCCATCACAAATAATTGCCAAACTGATGTAAAAAAATTATATTCAATTCAACGATTGGTTTATATACATGGAGAAGTGTTATCCGCAAATCACATTTTAAATCACCAAAAATTATTAAATAAGCAAAAATATCATTTTTTTTTTATTATCAAACATAGAGGTGTGTGTAAAAAATTATTGAATCATATTTATTTTAAATATATTTTAAAAAATAACCATCTATTTTTTATAAATTTGATTCAAACATACAATTACTAATGTCCAATCATATTATTTTTTACATGAATATTTTACCCAACGAGTCTTAA